GGAAAGGAAAGAAAACCGAACATAGAATGGGTAACACTAACATCAAGTAAAGCAGCACACATACCTGCACTTTTGATAAACTGACGTGAACCGGAAACGGGATTTTGTGCTCGTTCGGTGCAGCAACTATGTGCGGTTGAAAGACACTCATCCTGCTCAAATCAAGCATAATTACTACTTTATTCAGCGGAGATCCACACAATGTTGCTTTCTGGAGGTTACATCGCAAGATGAAAGTAACAGAGAGAAATAGGAAAGAACAAGTGAGACTATGAACAAAGCGAACAGAGAAGAGAATCGGAAATGGAACGATTCGGAGAGTATGCTGGATTGATTTTACACGGCCAAAGTAGGGATTGCGCAGAACGGAAAGAATCAGCCAAATTTCCACATCGATTTGCACACTTCCATCGCAGCGTATACTCCGCTTTCCCAGCGTTGCCCGCGGTATGAGAGCACCGTATTAGTGTGTTTTAAAGCTGAGCAGTCAGTCTTTTCAACGTCTACCAGGCTTCTCTCTCTTACAAATATGTGCATCTTCCATTCGTATTCCTTAAGCAGGGCAACAACACCTCGTAGATTGAGTGCGGCAATCATTCAGTGTGCGTTCATACTTACGCGATCTCGCCGCTGTGTCGCAGGCGATCAGCGCGAATAGATCGCGAACTAGTACAAGAGTGTATAACAACTGAAATCCAACTCTTCGAACTCTTTAGATCCTCCATTAGGATGTAACATTTGCGGGAGATGGTGTAGTGGCAAGTGACCCACTTACCAGGCGATTGGGCCGGGATCAGAGCGCGGAACAGCTGCAGCGCAGATCAACCGTCGATTCTCCGGAGATGATAAACCGATGCACACACGACTGAGCATAAAAAACACTGAGTTGTGTGGACCCCGCAAGTCGTAGAATCGGCAACATCACATTCAATATTGCACTACGATTCCTGAATGCAAATAGAATGCGTCGCGCATCCCAAAAAGAACCAATCAACGGCGAAGTCCTCACCCTTTTCAACCCCTTTCTCTAGAATACCAAGTCTTCCGCAACAAATGCAATGACGTTCGTGCAGTGCAATACATACTCAAGAGCTCGCCCAAGCTAACATAATGGCAGCGTTCATACTTGTAGGCTACCGTGCGCTATTCAATCTGCTAAGCGTTCAGTTTGTTCGCGAGTTGTTCCTTCTAAGATATCTCCTCTTCTCTTTGTTTGTCATATTATTGGAAGTGAGCTCTGTTCTACTTGATCGACATTTTGATGCAGTGTTCGATCAGAAGACTGTGATTAATTGGTGTTTTTATTTTATCGTTTTTGACCTTTATTATTTGGTTTCACAGTTGCTTGATGTTTGATGGCTTTGCTTGATGTCTTGCAGTGCTGCCTCGTTTTGATCCCGATTGCGAAACTACATTAAAATGTGATAAAGTAGAAAACAGGAGCTCACTATTAGATAAATATGAGAAACAAGAGAAGAGGATTGAATACAGAAAGAATGAATACAGAATCCAATGCCGCTTATCGATTATGGAGCGAAATCTGCTTTTAGAGTTTGCCCCCAATCTCTGCCTGGATCACAGGAAAAAGATTTATGCCGGTTTTCGAGGCATTCACAGCCAACAAAGCCTGACAATTTCTTGTACTTTTTTTGGCCTAGGAGAGTATCAGTATTGAGTCGCATTTGTCGGCAGCAGAAAAAATGGCCTCATCTCCCACAACAGGCACGCGAAGACTGTCTGATCACCAATGCGTTAGCACACTGCAAACAAGAAACTCCTTTATGGTTCTTGTACCTCTGGTAAAAAAAAACATGCGTGCTCTTTAGGAAAAATAGTGACTAATGGAGTAACTGTCAAGGATGGTGTCAGATAGTTACAGCTGTATCAGTCTCACCTTTCCGTGAATTTCGATCAAGCAACCTTCCCATTTTCTCTGTAAGCAGCTCTAATCATCCTAACGCTGGAAATTGCAGTATTGTGCGAACGCGGGCGCTGTAGCGCTAGAGTGGACGCTGTAGGCGCTACAAGTGGATGGCGCTGCTAAGTAAACCTCAGATGACCATACACAACAGGTGCTTAAGCAGCGAGACAGGAAGTTAACATAGCTCAGAATGCCAGAGATCGTTTGGATGGGCTTGACTTCGGAATAAGCTTACAAACTAAGGGTCTTAGTTTATTGTCTCTCTAATCCGAAGAGGGCCTGCATTTTTTCTGGATTTGGCACCAATTAAGAAGGGAGAATGAAATGTGTAAGCAGGAACACGATGAAGATATAAAAGCATGGGCAGCTACGTTACATGGGTGATAGCGACAAATAAAGATAAATTCCTCCTTCCGCAGGAAAGATTGCGATACGCCTGCACTTTTGACCACTATGCATCAAGCACATCTAACACGAAATAAATCGAAGAGCGAAACATCAAAACACACACAGAAGAGGTAATAATGGGGAGAAAAAGATACCAAGCGAACGAAACGAAGTGCGCGCGGCTTTCAAAGGAATGGGGAAGCATATCAAATCGCCTTCAATCCTTTTGAACGTACACGACCGCTTTCCGTTTTCCTGGCGGTTGCCCGCGTATTCGCGTGATAGAGGCACCTGCAGCGTTCAGCGAGCGGGTGTAAAGAAACTTGTCAAAACACATTCCGCGAACCAAACGACATTAGCAATTATTCCAGCATTAGAATGGAGCACATTTCATGTTAGCCTAACACAATAGCTGGGCAGCATATCATATTCTCATGGAACTGGACGCTAGTGAGAGAGTTGCAAGTGGCACGCTTAGCAGTGAAATCCTGACTCACTAAATCCATGCCAGAACATGAATTGTTGCCTGTGTGAAAACGAACGATGGCCTAGCTCAGCCTCGTGGACAGTGCCCCTTCCCAAGGGACCTGATGCCATTTTTTTACGGCAATTCGGGCGATGTACTGCAAGAACATTAGTGTCTCCCATCTCTTTAGTTAGGCTATCTGCTACTTGCGAACGGGAAATGCTCGGTTCTTACGGAGTTCCATCTCTTCATAGATAAAACGAAAATGTTTTGCAAAACTCAGAAGTGCCGCGCTCCATGGAGAATCCGCGACGCGACCGCTGAACAAATTTGGCGGCAAATTGTAATTTTTATCGCTTTTAGACAACCTTTAAACACGGTATGGAGAAATCTTCCGGTTTTCTTGTTCCGTGCATAAAATCCCAATGCGTTGTGACGGTAGTTCTCCACACGGGATCGCCTTATGAAGTCCTGTAAATACAGTCCATTTCGGTGCTCTTGAAGAGCCAAAATTGTTACAACTCTAATTTTCACGCCATTTCTTTGATTTCTATATGTGAGACAGCATTCAACGGTCCGCGGAGATGAGGGAATAAATGATCACGCACCTTACTACTTGCGCCAGGAGAGTGCCCTACGAATCGGTTGAGCACGGGGTCTGTCTTGGGCAGTGCAAAGAAATGATTGCGAGCCAGGGGATGAGTAGGATTTTCTCCCTCCTTAAAGGGGAAGGAACTTGGTGAGGGAGGATGCACTGTTCGCTTTGCAGTAAAAGAAGTTCTCGCGGTTCAAAGGAAGTTGTTCACCCGCCACGCATTCTTTACTGGACTTTCATCACGGTAGGAATATCACTAACTAGCGCTACAAGTTCTGCAAAAAGTTCTAAATGCTGACTAAGGTGGTGCGATTACCATCAGCCCACGCCTGCACTTCTCTTTCAGCCAGGCAGAACTGTATTTCCAGGCTGCGTTCATACTTTGCGACAGCGTTTTTTGCAGCTGGGAAAGAACAGGTACCGATTTGGCGTTTACAGTGTACGCCACATTTTCAGCGTCTACCCGCAAAAAGTTCAAAATACCCGCGAAACGCTCAAAACCCTGGCGTATGCTCAAAACGATAGATCGATATCTATACTTTCCTATTCGCTCGGAACGCTGCCATACGCGCACGCAGTGTATGAACGCGCTCTCACTCTAGTAAAACATTGTGTTCTAAGATAGTAATCGTGGCTAAATGTGAACGTTCTTTGTTGAATATTGCTTGTTTTGAATTATATTGGACTGCAGTTCTATCCCGTTCATATGGCACGAAGAAAACCACGAAAGCCTGGTCCCGCTGCGGAAGAAAAGAGACCATCCGCTTCTGCGTCTCCTGAACTGGGTTATCAGAGTGACACAAACGGTGATCCCGGTAAGGAGGACATTTAAAAGCTCACTCATATGAAACCTAGAAGTTGTTTTTCAGGCGATGTTACCTCAGCAAAACATCCAATAACACCTAAAAAGAGAGGAGTTCGAATCACTGTCACCGCAGATGAGACTAACATTATCGCATACTTAGAGTAAGTGATTTGTTATTGGTTTATTTGGTGTCAATAACATGAACTGGCTTTCGTTTGGATACTAATCAGGGCGTATATTGTTAAAGGAACAGTCCGCTTTCAGCTGTCAGCTGAAAGCGGACTGTTCCTTTAACATGAAATGTGAGGGCACAGAACGCCTTCTTTGGACGTGGTAGTCCGGTCCGCAGGATAATACTACTTTTGCTGCTTTTGACGTGGTAGTCCGGTCCGGAGGATATACTACTTTTGCAGCTCGAATCATCCCTCCGCCCTCCCTCAGCGACCACCGGCTCAACCTTCATTTCTGAAGGATGCTTGGTGATGCAGTTCTTCCGCCACAAACCTTTTCCATTTTGAATAATGATGGAGAGGTGGTAAGAGAGAGAGAGAGAGAGCAAGTGGGAACTCGTCCGACCACACCCTTCCTTCGCCTTATGTACAAACAGAAGCGGTTCCGCTAAGGATTCTATCTGATGCATTTTCGGAAATTATTCCTGTTTTTTCTTCTCTACTGTGTTATTAGCCATCTTATCATTAGGACTTGAGTAGCACCAATGACCATTTTCTAACGAGGGGCTTGCCTTTAAGACAGGAAATGTGAGGGCACTAAAGCACTCTGACCATTTGTTCATTTATTTTTTACGGCACACCCGAAGAAACATGCACTGTATCGCGACAGTGCCAGTGAAGTAATGCAAGACATGGCCATTAGCGTTTTAAAGAAAGTGGAGAACATGGCACTCACTATAGCAAGAAAGCAAGATGAAATTAGTGGAAGATGAAAAGGGAAAGAAAAGAAGTAATTCATAGGGGGCTAAACAAACGCAGCTCACC